TTAACTTAAGAGTCTAGAGAAATAACTGAGGAATATTCCTCACCAAATTAGTAGCAGCACCTTGTGAAGAAAGGAAAGGAATAATTCACACATCATCGTGGTCCCACATCGATCATTGACTCCTGACTTACAGGAAATGAAATCGGCAGCGAAACTTCCTCTTTCTTCTCCTCCTCTCTTTCTCTCTTTCTTTTCTTTTTCATTTCTTTTCTTGGCCCGTCCAAAACCATTCGCTGGTTTTGGGTTTCCTCCAAGAACCGTGGGCGGCGACACCACAGCGGCAACACCAGCACCGCTAATTTTCTTCTTCTTGCTTTCGCTTTTGTTTTATTAATTAATCGTCTCGTAATCTAAGCGGGCCTCCCGCAACTTGTCGCTTAATCTAATCCACACTCGCTGCGCAATCATGCTTATCTTTGCCCTGATTATAATCAAGTGTTTTTTTGTTTTTTGGGGTCTCCAAGTTGATTTAACGTGCTCCAAACAGTGCGGTGGCCCTCGGGAATTTGAATAGAAAAAAGGGGTGAATATCTTGGCCTTTTTGTTTTCACGGTTGTTGAAATTTTGGAGGTTTGTTTTTTCATTTCTTCCCGGTTGAGGGGGTCCGTTCGTTTGGAGGGAAAAGTATTTTCAGAATATTATTTTTTGACTTTTCGGTGTTTGGATAATAGAAGACCGATCGGGACAACGTTTTCCATGAACCGAAAACAATAAGTTTAGATTGAAGGAAAACAACTTCCCATTCTAGCAAAGAAAGAAGTTATTTTTCCTAAATCACCAATTAAATGAAAACTGACTATTTTCCTTTAAAATGATTTTCGTGGAAAATACTTTTCGTTATCATGAAGTTCTCAATACAACAAATTTGACCCCGACAGCAAAGAAACTATTTACGGACTCCGACAATATTTTGGGGTGAATTCCCTAAAAAACCATCAATTTTAGGTCAAATTCCAAATTTGCCCCGAACTTTTTTTTATCTTAGAAAAACTCCCAAACTTTAGGACCAGTCCTAAATTTGCCCCGAACTTTTTTTTATCTCAGAAAAACCCCAAACTTTAAACCCAAACTTGCCCCGAATTTTGTTTTGTGTAAAAAAATCAGCAAATTTCAATTTATTTTCAAAAATATACCCTTACAATCTAGTCTCAACTTAACGTGGCACTTCCACGTCGATAACAAATCCACATAAGCAAAGTAATGGGGCGATAGGTACATGCCGATGTTGTATTTCTACTTCGATAACAAATCCAACCCAATAAAAATTGTTGAAATTCTCTAAAATTAAACCGTTCTAGGATATGAAAGTTAGGGACGATAACAAATCCATCCTAAAAACTTTTTTTAATTTAAAAAAATACCCAATTTTTAGGTTCAGTCCAAATTTGCCCCAAACTTTTCTTTGTCTAAAAAAAAGCCTCATTACTTTGTTGATATGGATTTGTTATCGTTGTGGAAATGGCATGTCAAGTTGGGACCAGATCATGGGGGTATATTTTTGAAAATAAATTGAATTTTGGTGATTTTTTTTACGCAAAATAAAATTTGGGTTAGATTCAGGACTGGACTTAAAGTTTGGGATTTTTTCTGAGACAAAAAAATGTTCGGGGTAGATTTGAAACTGAACCTAAAGTTTGAGGTTTTTTTAAAATAAAAAAAAGTTCGGGACATATTTGGGACTTGACCTAAAGTTAGGGCTTTTTTAGGGAATTAAGCCCAGTATTTTGTAAGATATTTAGGGATTTCCAGCTCAGAAACTAAAGGTTATCCATTGGAATGTTACTGATTGCATGCAAACAATTCCAGGTCAAGGCCACTTACACAAATCAAAAGTTTAGATTCGACCGGTTCATGAGATCCAACTAATTGGATCTTCACGCCGTTCACTTGGATTATAAAAAGACCATAAAAGAAAATTGCTCCAATTATAGGGTGAACATTCAGCCAACACGTTAGCAATGGTAGATAAGTCTTTCCGGTTATATGAAAATATCACAGGTGACAAATTTAGGACTCAATTATACAATTAGACAAACGCTGAAGACTTAATTGACTAAGATAAAATGTTAACGACTCAATTGCTTAGCAGTATTGCAATATGACTCTACATTTTAACCTCAAAATAATCAACAAAGTAATAAGGTGTAATAATTATTATTAGGTTAGATAATATACGGTGCAAAGTGAAATCGCATTATACTCGATGATGAAGGCAAAAATGCAATCTTGGAGAAAGAAATTTTTGATACAATTGGCTATGGTAGGTTAATTAGCTTTTAGCAATTAATAAGTTTACTAAACACAACAAGTTTACTAAATCGATCTGAAACGCAAATTTCATGCAATATGCTAAAAGTGACTTTAGACACTATATGTCCTCAGGTTTAATGAAATGAGTCTTTTCTCTTATAAAAAAAAATGTAAGAGTTTTACCAAGAAAAACTAGAAAGTTTGGAGGGAAATATTACGATGATAAGTAGTAAACTTCACTTTATGAGAACGAGGGTTTTTATTCCGAGAAGTTATTTTAAGGTATTAACAGAGCTAAAAATATTACAATCTTTTCGGTAATATCTAAAGTGATACGTATAAAATCGACTCTACGTAAATGGTGAAATTAATTATATCTATAACTTCACACAAAATTGACTTTGTAACGCGATTTGGCATTAGATACAGGAATATCTATTTATGTATCTACAGAATAAATAGAGAGAGAGCAAAGTTGACTTTGTTACCTATTTAATACAATACACTTTTGGTTTCATAATGAAAAATACGTAGTAAAAAATGTAATATTAAAGAAATGTTACTTAAAAAAAAATATCTAGTTTTAATAAAATATGACTTAAGAGATATTTAATATATATAAAGTGAATTTATAACGCAAATGACTTCATAATATTGAATTACCAAACAAGTTATATATATATATATATTATATTTTCAAGTGATACTCCCTTCCCTCCAATAAAATTTAATAATTGTTGTCACTCTCTAAAAGTAGTATATTTTCTTATAAGCCATATATGTGCAAGAGGCGATCGACAATAGGCACTTTTAATAAACATATGTTTCTATATAAATTTTGACAAAGTAATCTCATGATAAGCATGAGCAAGTATACTAGAGAACAAAGAAAGTGAACTTTTCTGAAAAAAAAAATATGCGGCTCCGCTCCGGTGGGTTTCCTTAACAAAGCCACTATTCATAAGTCGGACAGCCAGCCATAGGTAGCATGAACCCCTTTTTCCAACCATCTGAGGAACCATCATCGGTTCCGACAGGGGCAGCCACTAAATTTGCTATCGGGTTAGCCGTTTTCATTACTAATTCGAGATGAAAAACGAGATATAAGAAACTTCCGTCGCACTTGATCGATCACATCGAACAGTTGGAAGGACTAAAGTCGACTATGGTTTTTGAATGGTACAAAGGATTCGAAAAGTATCATTCTAAAACGTGATTTTATATGAAAATCGCATACATCTTCCTTTTCTTAATAAGGCAAAAGAAGAGGATACACAATCAAAGTCGATCAATATAATTAGTATTTTCACTTAACATAGAACAATAAATCTCAAGGAAAACATTGAGATTCCACTCTCACTTATCATAAAAAAATTAAACTATATCTAGATTATCTAAAAAACTGCTCACAAAAAACTAACTTAAATGTTTTTATTAATAGAAAAACAGGTACCATTGTCTTGTTATTTTTCCTTTTTCTTGAGGATGGTCGTTGGGTTGGGCTTTGGGCTTATCCCTTACCCAACTCCATTACAATCAAATGCAACAGGCCCAGCTAACTTCTTGCCCCCTCCCTTCCTCACTGCCTATATAATTTGTATATATAAATGTTGGAATATGCTTACTAGAAGTCCTAAAACTTGTCACAAAAGTACAATTGAGTCCTAAAACTTGTAAAAAGTGCAATCAAGTCCTAAAACTTGTCTAATTGGTTCAATTGAGTCCTAAAGTTAACACCCTGCAAGTTAGCTAACTGAAAATGCTGACATGGCTTTTTTATTTTTATTTTTTATCCTACAAGGCGATTACGTGGCCTTTGTTTTATTTTAAATCAAATTTAAATAAAACTAGTATTAAAAATCAAATTTAGGTCAAAACGACATCGTTTTAGTTTTATGTTTCATAATTTAGCCACGCCATTGCCACGTAAAAAAGAGAAAATATCAAAATAAGACACATCAATGCCACGTCGGCATTTTCCGCTTGTAAATTATACGGTGCTAACTTTAGGACTCAATTGAACCAATTTGACAAGTTTTAAAACTTGATTGCACTTTTTGCAAGTTTTAGGACTCAATTGCACTTTCGTGATAAGTTTTAGGACTTCTAGTGAACATATCCCTATAATGTGATTATATTTTCTTTTCCTAATTTTAACGCCATACCTTATGTTTGACAAGGAAAAAAATCAATTTTTTTTGTCTATTTGAGCTTTTACACCAATTTTTTCAAATGAGTTTCGAGACATGAGAGGAACTCCTTAGATATTTGCTCAAATTAAAGGTCCAATTTTTTTTTAAAAAAAAAAACCCCATTAGATACATGATTGAATTATTATAATTTTAGGGTTCGTGATCACAAGTGATTGAATATGACAGGTGGGGAGGCATCAAGGAATGGCTTAGATCTCTCATTTCCTCAGCACCAGTGCTTGCAACGAGGGGCATCAACTAGAATGACCACATTTTGAAAGAGCAAACTCTCACCAGTCACCACCATCACACATTCATTGTCCTACCTAGGATGAGATAAGATCACCGAGAGGCCGCCACGTGGCGCTGTCATTGTGCTGGGTAACGATAAGGCTAGATCAAAAACCTTCATCACCTTATGTGGCCAGCAAGTGGTAATGTCATCCCCTATCGGAACCGATGGCCAGGATCTGCGGCCTATCCGGACCGGGGATCCGCGGCCGTAGGATGTGTGAAGGGGGGAGCTTGTGTTTATATATAGGATGAATCCCACGGAGAGCATAGTAGTTCTCGCTCACCACACTACAACTCAAGGAAGAAGAAGAAGAAGAAGAAAGAGGGAGAGAGATGGCCTCCTCAATGCTCTCCTCGGCCACTGTCGCCGCCGTTAAGAGCACCACCCCGGCTCAGGCCACCATGGTGGCTCCGTTCGCCGGCCTCAAGTCCGCCACGGCCTTCCCAGTCACCCGCAAGAGCAATGACATCACCTCTCTCCCCAGCAATGGTGGAAGAGTGCAATGCATGCAGGTATATATGTCTAGCTTTAGTTTATACAATTGTTTCTGGATACTTGAGACAATTCAGGCTTAGATCGATTACTATAACACGTACCTTATCTTTTTACATAAGGGTTTTTAAGGTTATGTACGGCACTGGTGGAAGAAGTTCTCATAAATAGCCTTAGTTCCAACTGACATGTAAGAACATTCTTCGCTGGTATGCATATAAAAAGCGGGAATAAATCTCGCCGTCGTGAGCGCGAGTTGTCAGACTCGTTCTTCATTAGAATCAACCGGATGTTAACTCCATTTTCGTTGTGTTTATAGAAAATGAACATCTTAGGAGAATTTCCTAACGACGATCCTAGTCAGTGAGGTTATTAGCAGGAACAGTAACCTGAATAAGTTGAGACTTATGTCGAATGATGCGTGTGGGCAGGTGTGGCCACCAACTGGGAAGAAGAAGTTCGAGACGCTGTCCTACCTTCCTACTCTGTCTCCCGCACAGTTGGCGAGGGAAGTCGACTACCTGCTCCGCATGGGCTGGGTTCCTTGCTTGGAATTCGAGTTGGAGGTCCATCTCTTCGACAGGCTTATTCGATTTTAAGTTATTAACACTAGTCGCAATGCGATTATGCTAACTGCTTTCTCTAGCTAGGCAACCTTTAACTTACAGTACATATTGTGATGGAATGGGGGGATTTCGCCTTTTGTTTATGCAGAAGGGTTTCGTTTACCGCGAGCACCACCACTCCCCGGGGTACTATGATGGCAGGTACTGGACCATGTGGAAGCTGCCCATGTTCGGGTGCACTGACTCGTCCCAGGTGTTGAAGGAGCTCGAGGAGGTCAAGAAGGCTTACCCCAATGCTTTCGTCAGAATCATCGGCTTCGACAACAAGCGTCAAGTGCAGTGCATCAGTTTCATCGCCTCCAAGCCCAAGGGATTCTAAGCAAGTTATGTCATGGTGGATCGTCGGGTTACCTCGAAGCGGCATCGTTCCAAACCTTTCAATTGTAGCTAGATGTCGAATGATCCATTTTTCCCTTTTTACCCAAGTGCTGTGATATTTCGTTTGCTTTTGAGTTTGCTGATGCGTTGGATTAAGAACTGATTTATGAATGACTTTAGTTGCTTGCTTACCTTGTTCGTTGATATCGTCGACTGAGCACCAATTGCTTGATTATGGGTGTGTCGATGAAGAGTACTACGCCTTTCGGTTATAGAAAGATAACGTCGTCATTCCAAGCTAGAGGTTGAAGGAATTACATACATGCCAGCCACTCGTGGGTTGACATAATGGTGTGATTGAGCCAAACCTCAAATGGAGAGAAAGAAGGGATGCATCAGAGAGACGGTAGAGCACCTTGAAGAATCTTCAGAGTCATACGTAAAAGTAGAAGCCATTACTTAATTGAAAACTAGAACTCACCTCATTCCGACCGAGCGCGAGTAGGTCAATTGTCGGATCTTTTTGAGCTCGAAAAGAGTCGGCTTGAGCTTGAAAACAATCGAATCGAGCAACATCAGCTGCTTTTAAAGCCTTTTCACTTATAAATAAAGCATTCTGTGGAGTTTCATTCTTCCATTTGCTTTAAGAGTTAGGAAGTAGAGTTCAAGCTTGAATTTTAAGACATCTTGAACTGAAATTGAGTACTTAGCGCGACGACTGCTTTTTGAGTGCAAATCTGAGCATCAAGCCTTGAACATTCGCGTGTAGTTAAGTACTGCATCGTATGGGGCTCGAATAGGCTACACCCCTAGTAACTCCAGATACAACAACTTCTTTATCACTAAAGGCAATTATCGACGGATTTCGCCAGAGAAAGCACGCCCAGCTTCAAAACTTTTGCGGCTGAAATGGTGCAGGCTTGCAGCTCGACTACTCTCAACACCAACTTATCTTGTAACACGGCCTGCGTACCCAGAAAGAGAGTTTGAGGCACAAATTGAGAGAGAGAGAGAGAGAGAGAGAGAGAGAGAGAGAGAGAGAGAGAGAGAGAGAGAGAGAGAGAGAGAGAGAGATTAAGCCTGCCGGGAGACGCTATGTAAAATAAACATTTGTCAATGAGGAAAAGTTGCCAGAGAATGTCTAAAACAAAGTCCTTGAAGTTAAAAGTAATGAACAAAGTAGACAGAAATTTCTTGCCTCGATCCTATGTAGATGGAAGTACCTGGAATGGGCTTCCGATGTCTCGATCAAATTACTTTGGATCTCTCTCTGCACCTTTGGGATCCATAATTGGATGTAGAACTCTTGACATGGGCCACACGTGGATCTCACATCATCCAACAAGGCTGAAATCGCGTGATCCATGATGGACCAAGGTCCATGTGAGAATTTCCCGAAGTTAGATGAGTCATCGGTCAATCCATGAACCAGTCTCGCAGACAAAGGCCATATGAGTAACATGAACATAATTAATTGCTTCGTAATGACAACTCATGCCTAGAGTTCACAACCCTCGAGTTTCAATTTTTAGATATCAGATGTATTCTATTGAAAAAATCGCAAAAGTGACCGAAGATCTCAAAACATGCCATCCGTGACACATTTACCCTAAACTTTTTTCCATGACATCAAAAATCTCAAACTTGTATTTGTGTAATAGATTTATCCTCCGTCAAAGTCTTGTCAATGAGGACCATTAAAAATTTACCTTTATTGATGCCGGAAAGAAAACATTGTTGCGTAACTTAAGTGAAATGAAAATGACATTGTTTTGACAAAAATTATTTGATGGAACATTGATGGAGGGTAAATGTGTCATATGGGTACAAGTTTGAGGTTTTTTATGTCACAAGAAAAAGTTTAGAGTTGTTTACACCCAAAAAATGATCATTTTTTGGTTATTATCAACAAGTGATGGGTTTAGTCAGTAAGAGCATAATTTCGTGGTCCTTTTTATGTAGCCCAATGTGTTGACTACTCAAGCAATAGAATTGGGAGAGTGACTTGCACACACGGAGACTCCGTCACAAAACAAGCAGAACTTCCAATTCCACACTAGTTCGGAAAAATGATCATAACTTTGTCAATACAGGTCGGATTGACCTGATTTCAAAGCCAAAAGAACGAAGACTCCTGGATCTACAACTTTTATGATTTGAGTTTTCTCAAAAAAAAAAAAGTAGATTTGTCAATTTTTTAAGGAAGTAGATTGTCGTGAATAGTCAAGATGCGAAAAAAGGATAGGAACTCCAGTGAAGAATCACCAACTTGAAAGAATTGACAAAAAGTGAAGTCAACAATATCGGATGCAACCGTCAACGTAGTGGAATCGTAGAAACCGTCGACGTAGTGGAGTCTACGTAACTGTCGACAGCCATTTGGTAACCATTCATAACCTCTGGCCGTAACTTCCATTTGTAACCTCTCTTTGTAATTTCTCATAACCGTTAGGAAGTTATTTATTTTTTAGTAACCGTTTGTAACTTCCATTGATAATTGTCGATTGTAGGCTTTAAATAGCCACATTCTACTCTTCAGAGAGACTCCCGACAAATCAATCAAAATATTATCTTTTAATTATCTTTACTTTCATATACCGCACTTTATTTTTCCTTAGCTGTAGCTTTCCGATTCGCATTGTCGATTAAGTTCTGGCATGTATCTCTATCATAGGTGTTGTGTTGTCGATTAAATTCCGGCGTGTATCTCTATCATAGGTGTTGCATCGTCGATTAAATTCCGTCGTTACTTCTTTGCACGTTCTCAAGTTTTGTCGTCAATTAAATTCCAACACGGTTTGTATGCGTGTGTTGCTATGAAAGTGGCTGTACTTTCAAGCTTCGTCGTCAGTTAAATTCTGGCACGGTTTGTATGTACTGTTCGGTTCTAAGTTCGAAGTAAAAGTTTGTGATTATTCCATGTCTGCTTGGATATTTCCTATCTGGAATCGCCACAAAACTCGTCCCATCTCATTAAAAGCAGAAAAACAACTTTTGGTGAAAGATAATTCGTTGCGAAAGCAATGTTGGCAAAACAAGGGTAAATTGTCACAGTGGATATATTTTGAGATTTTTAATGTTACAAATAAAAGTCCATGATAAATGTGGCATAATTTGGAGTTTTTTTACGACTTTTTCACATATATCATCATCCATCTCTCTCTCTCTCTCTCTCTCTCTCTCTCTCTCTCTCTCTCTCTCTCTCTCTCTCTCAATGACTAGGTAATCCTATTTGATTTAGTTATCGATATTAATTTTCTCTCGTTAATTGCACAATGATAAAAAACATCTATGATTGGAATTGTGGGAATGAGATTTTAATTTCAAATTACTGATTTTGGATGTCATGCATATTAATATAGTTAGTTGAAAATAATAATGCGGAAGATAGAATTGGATAATTTGTGTATAATTCGATATATTATAATGAAAATTACATCAGTCTATTTATAGGTTTTATGAAATAACTAAATAAAATAACATATCAATCAAGATACGCACAATCAAAGAGAGATATTCGCACAATCTTAAGAGATACAAAATACCATCAGAATTATCCTAAATATCTCTAAATCCCCCTCAAACTCAAGCTGCATTGAAGATGTAACTTGAGTTTGAATACAAGTCCGAATAGTGTCCAACAGCTAATATGTGGTGGATGAGGAGGTGTATGGCAGCTATTCATGGCAAAATTTCTAGATCTTGCCAGTATGAGAGCAGCAAGTCAGGTGGCAGTGTGGCTTCTTGAAACGACATGCAAAAAGTCGAGAATCACGGTCGATGTGGCTGACTTGTGAAACAGTAGCTAAGTGACGCTGCCTATATGATTGGCGTCGTAGCATCAAGCAACCTATATGGCTGGCTTGGGAAAATAGTTTACTAAGCGATGCGGTCTATTCGATTGGCATCGAAAGAAAAGCCACCTCTATGAAAAGCTCGACTGGGTGATGCGGCCATTGCGGTTGGCATCAAAACACGACCATCGACTCAACTAAGCGCTTCCTCATATGAGAGGGCTCTGCAGACTATGTGACAAAAAATGCATTGGCTATCGGAAAAGATGAATAATGTTGAAATTAATGGAGGATATTAGGACTTATTGAAAAAGAAGAAGAAGCTAAATTAGCTCTGGATGGGCACTTGGGTGTGCACCGGTGCACTCGCACGCGGTGCAATTCGGGATTGACTAGCATACCAAGTTGAAAATAATAATGCAGAAGATAGAATTGGGTAATTTGTGTATAATTCAATATATTATAATGAAGATTACATAAGCCTATTTATAGGTTTTATAAAATAACTAAATAAGATAACATATCATCAAGATACGCACAATCAAAGAGAGATATTCACATAATCTTGACAGATAAAAAATACCATTATAATTATCCTAAATATCATTAACATAGTGCACGACTGGTCGGCTTGTCGCAGCTCATTTGCCGAGAAACTGTGGACGATGTAGGTTTCCTCCCCGTTTTTTTTTCTTTCTTTTTTCATTGGGTTTCTGGCCTCATGTTAGGAGTGACGTGTTTCATGATGGGTTAGTTCCCGACAGAGAACTTAGAACCTACTCAGTTAAAACCGATTACAGATTTTTGGAATTAGCTGGTATTAAGGTAGACCCGAGAACCTGATTGCAAGTTCTTTTTTCTTTAAAAAGGACATGTTAAATGTATTTATAACACAATTGGTGCATTAGCTTGTTGTTACAAAGGGGTTGAAGCACGTCAAAGCTTGGTAGGCCACTTAGGTCGAATCTCCTTCATTGAACTTTATATATATATTCTTTAGAAATAAGAAAAAACCGGGAATCAAATTGATATTGACAATTTTTACGCATGAACCTATTTGGTTCACCCGAGAACCGGACTAATGCTCATCCTTACCTCATGTTAATGTCATTTGTACATTTCATCCTCTATTATTTATTTTTTTGGGGAAATGAGCCTTACAAACTTGCTCGACTTATGCAACAAAACTTTTACATCATGTCGGAGGATTTTTGACAGAATAGATAGGTCTCTTGAAACTATATATGGTTTGACAGAATAAGACTTTTTCATTTTTGCCCACATGACTCCACTTATCCAATAATTTCATATCCATGGCGTGGTGCTAGATGTGGTGCCACACGACCAAAACAAAAGGTTGATAAAAGATAAAATTAAAGAAAAATAACACAAATGATCCTTAAACTTTGATTTATTAAGTTGGATTTTTAAAAAAAGATGAGCCAACTTGTCCATATATTAATCCATTTATTTTAGGAAAGAAAAAAGAAATTAGGACATCAACATGTCCATCATTATTTGATGACATCGATTATTATATAAATATTTTATTTTGATAATCTACATTTAACTTTTTTTTATTGTCTATCGTTCAAACTTAATGGATTGGAAACACATCAACAAATTTTGTTAACTTGAATAGATGAAAGGTCAACATTGAACATTTGCATATAGTCAATGAACTAAATTGAACATTTACTAATAGTTCATCGATCACATTAAATAAGTTAAAATTTTAGGAATGACATTATACATTGGACCAAAATTCAGGGATACGGGAGGCAGTGCCTCCTAGAGGCTTTGATTGGGAACTCAGGAGACGGGAAAAATAGGAGAAAGGGGATTGAAAACATCTATAGATTTAAAAATTTCCCTTCGCACAGTTTGCCGGCTCACCGAGTCCGATATTACGCTGTTCAAACCTGATTACCGTGCACCAGAGTTGCAGATAATCTTCAGAGATGTCCTCCTAATTCGAACCTATGGACCCCCTGAAGGAAAAGTACCTGGGAGTAAGCTCTTATTCACCTAAGCTAGTGGTTTGTACTTGTTGAAAAGAGATGCGTAAAAACAAATACAGAACACAATGATTTACGTGGTTCGATCACAAGGTGATCTACGTCCATGGACGAGGCAAGACAAGATTCCACTATAATCAAAGAGTACAGTTTTCAGAAGTCGAAACAACGACAAAACCTCACGGCTCACAAAACTCTCTGAAAATAAAATTCTCTCTCTACATCAATGAGAAAACCTAGCTGCAGTATAAATAGTTTCCCGCGGGTTAAGTCTTGTTTTTTGAGTAGTCAAGGCATACAGCTAACTTTTTTAGGGAAGATAGGCCGAAGTTCATCGTCTTCGAAGGCCGATTTCCTGTGCCAAATGGTATGATTAAGGCCACATCTGATCGATACGTGCGATAAACAAATCCCTCTTGCTGATGTGACAGTCGAATAGCTATGAACATGCCATCGGGTAAAGTACCAAGTCGGCATGCGAGAGCGCTTCTCTTGTCCTTCTCAGGAGGTACAAAAGGGGAGCTCTTAGACCGTTTCAATTGCAGAAGTTGAAGCAGCAGCGAGAGACGCTTTCGGCAATCGTCGCAAGAAACATATCTCGAGTGGCTTCTTCCTCCTAGAAATAGTCAAACAGTTTGAGGAGCACCACCTCATTTTTCCTCTAAATTTTAAAAGCCCTTGAACATTCTGAATGGGACGGCAAGGCCCGATACAAGACGAGAAATCTTTGGCTCGAATTTTGTCAACTCCTGGTTCTGCGGAACAAGAATCTCCCAACAGGCACTTTCTAATTTCCTATTGATGTTCAAGCCGGCCATCTTTAGCTCCCAATGTGACATCTCTCTTCCTAATATTCTACATAGATACATATGAGATCATTTATTGGCACAAGCTACAAAATACTTACTGTGCCTTCAGAAAATATATATGAATACGGAAGATTATACGCTGTGCTTATGGCAATGCGTGCGTTCTTTCTGGCCCTTTTCGTAGAGTAAATCTCGATGAATAAGCAGCTCGAACGTAATTCAATCGCATCATCCTAGACCCCTTACCCGAAATTAGAGGTGGAAATACTCGGTTGGACATGGAAGATGTTCTCGTCAAGGCGATAAGCAATTATATTCTTGCAGCTGTCGGAGGACGAATTGCGAAATTAGATATTTTGGTTATTATTCCATGTATTCAAAGAGTAATGCTTTGCACGTCGGGCTTGGCTTGAATGACCAAGTGACAACCTCATTGTCATTGTCACTGTCACAAATTTGAGTTTTCGAAAGAAAAGTTAGAGATCTTCTTGTTTCTTGAAAAGCAGCAATATCTGCTAGACATGGCTGCCTCGTAGTGAGAGCGACTCGCCAACCTCCACGAAGACTCAAACCAAATAACCAAAACCGATGGACTTTGGCTCCACTAAAATGAGCCCGGTCAGATGATTCGGTTCACGTCTCTCACTTTCAACTTTCCAGGAAACACAAGGAAAAGAAAGAGAGAACATCCAATCCCAAGTGTTGGCAGCTCTCGTGACTCCTGTATTCAGAAATTACCTTTCTCAGTCCTTCTAGAAATGAAGCTAAAAGAGATCCTGTGACTCCACGACTTGCTTTTTTCAGTCTCCCCTCTTGTTAGTTCCTGATTTCAAATGGACTATCATCAAATTGTGGTCTATAAAACACCCTGCGTGGCATGACAAGAATCTTCCCATCGATTCGAAGTTAGCCGAACAAACATGGCCGTTGATCAGCTGAACCCCGAGAACTTCTCTGTTTTGAGCCCGAGGATTTCGTTCTCTTTCAATCTCTGCGACTTGGATGCAGCACAGAAAGCGATACACTCTCCTCCATCAAACACTACTACCACTTGTCTTCAAGCATTAGATTCGGGGAATGACTTTGAGTTCTGTCTCTCGGAGAGCTTCAAACCTCAGTCGTCCTCCGCAGAAGAGCTCTTCTCCGATGGCAAGATTCTCGCAGTCCCCGTCAAGAAGAAGAATGTTTCTGAGAGACAGAGGCACTCTGACTGTCCGCTGCCATCGCGGCCTTCTCCTAAAGAGGGTGTGTCTTGTAATCCGACGAGGCATGCTAAAACGATATCAATGGATCCGGAAGCCATTTGTGATGGCAACATGCCACATGGCCGGAACATAAAGGATGCGAGGTTCAGAGGAGAACGGGCTGACGACAAGCCATCGAGGTCATTCTGGAGGTTCAGACGAAGTAGCAGTTTGGGATCTGCAAATTCGTATGGAACGCGCTTGTGTTTCTTGCCGCTTATGCCGCGGAGCTACTCGACCAGGTCATCTTCCCCGAACACGAAGCAGCATCGGCAAAGACTCCCTCCACCGCAGTGTTGGGCGACAAAGAACAATCAGAAGGCTTCTTCGTCCAAGTGTTTCGGGTCTCATTACCGACAGAGAGCTCTTCAAGGTAGTCCTGTTGTTCTCAACGTTCCTACAGGGGATATGTTTGGGCTGAGCTCGTTATTTGCGAGTAGGAAGACCAAGAACAATCACATATGATCCTCGAATTGTGTCTATCCTTTTCAGGATAAGTCTTGCATGAACAGAACTGCAAGTGAAAATCGTATATACTATGGCTTAATCAGACTTTCTCCTAATAACAGTTGTTTTAGAAGTTTATGTCGTTAAAAAGGTCTAGGATACGTCAGATCCGTGAATTTCATCTTTATTTTTGCTTTTTTTAAGCGTCTGAGGTTATGGCCTTATAGCATAGGCATAAGACGAGAAGATATTGCATGATTTGTAGATCGTGTGGACCAATATCATCTCGTGGATCTCACCATAGCCCACATGATCGATGGTTGAAATAGACGTAGTAGTCTAAACGGCCTATAAACCGGATGATTTGCTCTCGTGTAAGACACGGTTGTTCCTTTGATTGCTGCTGCCAGGATGTCCTGCGAAGCATGGGAGAACTCAGCGTTCTATGCAATCCCTCTTGACTCTAGGATGATGTATTTTGAAGGAGCTCATGTGTCTCTTGCAGCACAGAATCCATCTTAAATTATCTTTCAATCAACAACAGCAATGGCAGATGTACTCCCTCGTGTTGATGCTCCAGCTGGTGGGGATGAATCAAAGTTCATATCTTGAACCCATCAAGTATGGTTTGAAGGAATTCTATATCGCTATTCGTGCCTGCGAAGATCCAATCAGTTTTGTGGATCATGTGATAAGTCGATTGAGTATGATGAAATCCTAAACCGCAAGGAGTTTCGCGACCTTTCGGTCGAGGCAGCGTGGATAGCTAAAATTACAGAACCTATCATCATGCTCGATTGAATAGGGAGCGTTACTGCAATATAGAGGTGCAGCTTCGATTGGACTCTCCCAGGTCCTGTCTCAATTTGGTAATGTGAGAATGTATTTGAATGAAATCTATAGTCTGAAGGTACCCTAGACCAAGACTACTTATTTGCATGAACTAGATATTCTTCGATTCGGAGATTTAGTTACAATAAACCATCCTAGCTTGGTAACTGGTACCGCGATTAGAATCTACATGAAATCTCCATTTATCTAACTCAATTTGGGAGAGTTAAAAGTCAATTTGGTGCTACTTCACCTCTTGGGCTCTTCCCCTACGCAGTGATCTGCGAGCAATGGTGCTGTTTTGATCCCACCTTTGAGTGCCCGTCCTCGCGTACTCACCTCGGACTTGCTCGATGCAGTCTGCACTATCACGAGGAGTTTACTCGTCGCATTCGATGCAAGTACAGATGACTTATCCGCAATCATACAGAAAAAATGATACTTTGCATTAGGGACGGAGCTTGACAATTTAGTGAGCTGGTGCAGGGACAAGTAACTTCAACGCATTCAACCGTTTTATATTTTTGCTTGCATAGTTATTGAGATTCAAGGAGAAAAACACAATTGGGGCAAACTTACGTCCTTTACAGAAAAAAGCCATCAAATGAAAATAGACCGTTGACTAAGGCACAAAAATATGATAAAAAAACGAATATTCTATTATAGAAATGTGTGCTCGGTCAAGACAGACAAGACGGAGAAAAATCTAACCTAAGATATGATCTCGGTGTGGCAAAAATTCAAGCAGAATAAACAAGTGTGTAAAGACATTTGCGGCGCACGCGATAACCATTATGTTTTTATATTTTTCTGTTCTAGCGAATAGGTTTGGAATATAAATCTGTTTGATAACGCATTTTCATTTTTCTATTTCACGAATAAATTTTGATTTCAGAAATAGGTTTGGAATAGAAATGAAAAGTAAAAATTGTATACTTTTCTAATTCTGGAAGAGAAATGAGAAACAAAAACTCTTCTCATTGCTCGCCCTCGCTACCAGCCGGCTGTCTACCTGCCCCCCATTGTCGGCCAGTCGCCGCCCGATGCTGACCGCCTCCTGTCGCTGTCCACCGCCACCCGCCGTCACTTGCCGTCCTCCACCACTTGTTGTCCACTCACCCATGAGAGAAAAATTTTGTATCGTTATCAAACGCCTTTTTCTCAAAAACATCCGGGGAATACAAATAAAAAAATATATTTATGGCTAGAAATTAATTTCTGGAACATAATGGTTATTATTCACGCCCTTGTTGATGACTAAGACAATTTGAACAAACTAAGAACTGACATAAGAGCACCTTCACATTAAGGTTCCATTTGTTTTGCGAAAAATGAATGATTCAGAAAGTATTTTCCTAAAAAATGATCTCTTGTATTACTTGAAATAATTAGTCAATGAAAAATATTTTCATTATCGACAACAGATTATGTCTAAACATATTCGTTTATTCATTTTTGTAAGCAATACAAATGGTCATTTTAAGGAATATTTTCCAAATCATTCATTTTTCGCGAAACAAATAAAGCCGAAATGAGGCATTAAAAAGACCAAATGGGTCAAATCTTGAAAATTTTTCGACCATCAAAAGTCAGTCAATTCCATGCAATGTGATCATGAACATAAAGATCTCACATGCTATGCAACTATGTGGCCATCTAGACGTGTGTTCTTGTCAAAATTTATCAAGGAATTAATTCGATAAAATGGAATTATGGGGTCAAGTTCAATCTGTCAAGCAACAATTTCATCAGTCATGTATTAAATTCATATGATTGGCTGAGAATTAAGTTCTAATCCAACATCACAACTCACCAAGGACTAAGGTGTGTTGGATAATAACGTTAACTGTGGAACATTGCTATTTTCAACACTTATAGGTCAATAAGTGCGGTCGGTGCCTTTTAACCATGCACATCTTAATTGAAAGGAAAGGTTTAATCCTTTGATTCATTCAAGAGATATTAAAATCTTATTAATTATGTTACTAACACCTTTTAATAATATCTGCAAATGCCCAATAAGAAATTCATCATACTTATTTTCAACACTTATTGTCCGTGCTTAATATTTGGTGCTTAAATTTTCAACACTTGTCGTTTAGTTTTATCAAACGAGTCCTTATTTTTTAATGCCATTAAATGCTGAAAATTAAAAAAAATGGAATTTAGCGAGATTAAGTGTGATTGATAAAACAAATAAACTTTGACTGTATTGACTAGAATAAGTTAAAAATCAATTTAGGGAATTAAGTAAAGGAATGTGCTAATTCTGTACGATATCTTAAAATAAACAGAAATACATTTTATGACACTTTACCCTTTGAATTTAATGAGAAAGCTTAAGTTTTGTAAAATATCGCAAAATGTGATTTTTTTTTAATCTCACGACACTCGGATATTTATTTGTAATCAAGTGAAAATGCCATGGATCCAAATTTTTTTGGGTTTTAAAAGTTAGTAATAAATAAAACAAAATGAGTTTTTACATAATTTCATGACATTAATATATTTTGTTTCGCTCAACCAATCACAAAAGAACATAAAAAAAAATCAAGCACAAAAACATATTAAGAGGGAAAAAAAAAGGGCCATAGATATATATATATATATATATATATATATATATATATATATATATATATTTTATCAGACGAGGGCCATAGATACACCAACCGTCAAAAGCTCAAAAATTTCCTGCCTTCCTTCTTCACCGTCACATCACACTGAACTGGCTATGGATTAGGGCATTCTCTCTCTCTCACTCTCTCTGTCATAAGAGGAAGAGAGAAGCTAGGAGAGAACAAGAGTTGGGTACACAGGGGTCTTTTGCCACTATTGAAGTCGATCATGGTGCCCATCCACATAAAGGAGCTGGAGGGCTGCTCCGTCGCCGTTGACACCTATCCTTGGCTCCACAAAGGCGCTCTCTCTTGTAGTAAGGAGCTCTATAATGGTGTGCCTGCCGCCAAGTCAGCCTCGCATTTCCCAAGTTTCTCAAATTTCTTAATTGTAATTGGAAATGGGGTGATGGATTTTCTTTTTTCCGGTTTGATATGCACTACATATCACGAAAACAAGAAAACATTTTCTTATCAATTTGTTTGGAGTTCACCCTAAAAACAAAAAAGAATAACTTTTTTTTGGTATATGGATTTAGTGAAATTCGAGGGGAGAGAAAATGAAAGAAATTTAAGGCTTCCTAGTTGATCTGAGTGATTATTTCAATCGGTCTCAGCATTTATAGAAAAAGTAGTATGAATGCGCTCTTCTCACTTCCTTGGTTATTTGTCTCATCTGCTTTTCCTGCCCGATGATATTGATGGTCAAAAGTGCAGTAGTTGGTAATTAGGTGTCGTGAGAAAGTGAAATTCTTGAATCTGAAATTGGAAGATCGCCAATCAGCGACTTTTCCCATTTCAACTTTATGCTTGAGCAAGAATGTTCAATGCATCATGAAATCAGCTAGGAGAGTTATGGTCGAGCTAGGAAGTGTTTTTATTTAGTTATGCTCACAATAAACACACGAAGTGCTATAATGCTGAAATGGTTTAGTTCTTATGTTATGAGATGTCCTACTTAAGGTTGAGTCACGCTTCTGTGATGTTTGATTCTCAGGCACATCTAGTGCTGCATGCACAGAGTGAATTTGCTCTAGCATTATGGAGTTAAACCAGTTCTTGTTTTCGATGGAGGTCTCCTATTGATGAAGATTGTACAGGAGAATGAGAGTGCAAAGTATGTTTTTTAGCTCTTCAACAGAATCACTTACTATTGAACTCAAACTCAAAATTTGCAATTGTTTTTTTTCTGAATCTTTAGTGTGTTCACTTGTCTACTTATCTTATTGGTTTTGAACAAATCTTAAACAATAAAGAGTTGTGCATCTTTCCCTATGTACATGATAGGAGCATTTTCCTTTCTCAAGTGTAGAGCCTATCTAAATAAAATTAAACTTATGTTTGTCTAGGAATCCCCTCTTCACTTCTTTAGGTGTCATAAGTTCCTAAATATCCAAACTGGAAGGGCTCGATCGATTCTACGAGACTTTTGTTATCTTAGGGATGGTCCAGATGTTTCAAAGTTTTGCAATCATGTGTAGAGTCACCGAAGGACTATGACTACCTTGCTTATGTAGGTCAAGGAAGGAAAATCTTTCTCTTGCTATCGAGCACGAGTCAAATGGAAATGGTGTTGCTGCTTATGAGTGCAATCAAAAAGCAGTAGACATCACACCTTCCATGGCACATGAGCTAATTCAGGTATAAAAATACTCTAGGTCATGCAATGTGTGGTTAAAGTAAGTTAAATTGTCATTCCTAATTAATTTATCGCATCTTCATTGGCATTATTGCATGTGGAAGGTTCTAAAGAAGGAGAACATTTCTTATGTTGTTGCCTCTTATGAGGCAGATGCTCAATTTACTTTCTTGGTAGTTAATAAACAAGTCAATGTTGTACAGAGGACTCAGATCTTATACCATTTGGTTGTCTCAGAGTGAGTTATCCAGTAGCTGCTTCTTGCTATATCCATGACAACACGCAATCACTAAGCAAACTATAGCCTTTCTGACCCACTTTATAGAGTGTTTTATGTGGTTGTATATGTTTAATTTTTCGGATAATCTTCAGAATGGACAAATTTGGGCAAGATGTTAAGTTCTAGTATTCCAAGCTACAAGAGAACAGGGAACTTAGTTGAATTCATTAAGCAGATGC